CCAGACCTGCCTGGCAGTATAAAAACACTGACTTGTACATCGGCTGGCCCCCGCAAGTCATTGTATAGGCCACATCGCATTCAAAACGCCACTACGAATGTACAAATGGAAGTAGAATGCGTGCCGCATCCCAAAAAGGGATTGATCAACGGCAAATGCTTTACCCTTTATCCTTTAAGACAAATCATCGCAGTGCAGTGCAATCGTGCGCATCGCGCCATAATGAGTATGTCAGTTATACGGCTAAAGCAACAACCTCGGATCAAATTGGTGAGGCAACAGCTGGCGATAATGAAAAAAGGGTGAATGCCAGGTTTACTGAAATTGGAAAAACAAGCAAACGAAACCACTGATAGAACCCTCTACGAGACCCACTCTTTCACGCTTCGGAATGAGAAAGAGGCGTGGCTGGACGAATTCTGTGAACTTGCTTGCTCCATAGTCCCACTAAGCCCGTGCGTATTTGAATTAGCCGCTACGTTGATCCACGTTGCGTGTCATGGAGTGTGCGCGAAATATCTCATCCAGTAGCTCACATTTGCTCTCATCAGCTCATTGTAAGACCCTAACGCCTTTGCCGCGGAGTCTTGTGTCGCGACGGCGGCCCTTCTACATATAATAGTAGCTTTATGTAAAAAAAAGTAGGTTCATACTTGTAGGTTAGGAGTCCGTGATTCGTAGACGGTTTCCAACGAAGACGGAGGCTGGTCGCATCACACTCGCATTCGATCCTGAAAACCATGCATTGAAGCGATCTCTCAGCTATAAATTTGAATCCCCCATTCTTCTATCATTCAAGTTTTTCAGGTGCTGGTGATGCTCACCATGCATGAAGACGTATGCACAGGCGTCAACTAAATTCTAAGCAACTGGAGCTAAACCTCTCGAATTGCCTGGTTGGGCTCTAGCTTAAATATGCCCTTATTTATTCTATTCATGGATCCTCAGGTAATATTTGTGGCATCGCTTTCGAAGGACGTTTTATGTAATATTCAATTCTCACATCATATCGACAAATGTCAAAAATTGGTGGTGACATACTACCCCAAATTACGGCAAACATCTGTCCGATTTTTCAACGTTACAATGACTTTCGCGTATACTAACAATCTAGCCTGTTCTGAGAGCTTTTTTCGACTGTAACCTTCAACCGTGACCTTACAGCAAACATACTTTGGTGGGTCCGGTGGAGGTGGACGTGTTCTTCCAGTGATTGCGGCTGCTATGCCACATCCGACAGCGTTTTCAGCGGACAGCTCAACTCTGTAGTCAGTATCCGCTTGCAGATCTGCTATACGGTACTCGCATGAACCTGAGCTGGCCGGTGGGCTGATGGAAATCTCACGTACCATCTGGAAGCTCGAAGCATTATTTTCGCTAAATTCCAAAGCCTACAGGAATAAATTAAATGACTTCAGTGGTTCTGGTGGCAAGTGCGGTTCCGAAAAACAAACCTCGCTTTTGGTCTCAACTCGAAGCAAATACTGTGTGATTGGTGAGCCACGACAATCAGGTACGGACCAGCGAATCACTAGCGCCCGCGTTCCATCCGATTCGATAGTAATACCTGAACTGACTTATATGAAAATGTGGAAGGTATAGGATGCAATTTTAAATCTTGGGCTAAGGCATATGCTTTATTACGACTTCAGTAGTGCACGTATGCAAGTTAACGGAAGGGGCTAGATGAATTTACAGTCAGTGAGCCAGGATAGAGGTGGGGTTCATGTGCGGTCGAAACGCAGCTGCTTTCACTTAGAGGCATATTCCGCGATTGTTGAGCTAAGCTCACTGCATGGGAGCAAGAAAGAAGCACTGACGCTTGGGCCTCCAATTATGGCAGAACGCGGAAAAAATGCTCAAGTCTTTGAAATCACATGTTGATCATGAAAATGGTTCTGCGCTACGCTTCTGCGGAGAACTGCTTGGCTGGCTATATCACTTTATCATATTTTACCGTCTACTGAGCGGGACGCAAACTCCGCCCATGCGATCGGCGCACAATCAACTTCATGTGACTTTCAAGGAGTCTTAGCAGTTTTTTGCTTCCCTTCATTACTGGAGTTCTACAGATATCGCTCGTGTTGGTGAGCAATTGGCTCTACCTATTCATTCGCGAAACATGCCTTTTGAGCCGAAGTTAGCTGACTATCATCTTCTTCACGGCTGTCGCGAAGTCAAGTCAACAAACCATCAAACATACTCAAATCAGAGTTGCGGCGACTCGCTACGCGTGGTGAAAACAAGTGCTGTGAAAAGGCATCCCACCGTCGTGAAAGTGAATACCTAAAATTCATCCATGAACATGAAATTTCTGTGAACAATAAACAAAAAGAAGAGCAAATGAGGCATATAAATACCGTCACTCACAGCCTAAAACCGAGATGCAGCAGACAAAATTTGGAATATGTACCATAAAGACGTACAGTAACGAACAAAGTGCTCCTCAAATGATTGGATAGCATTTCCTTACAGATCTCTATGATTATATAGCTAATTCATGCGCTCAATGAAGTAATAGAAAATATTGATGGTACAGCATTAAGAAAAGGAAGTCACCCAATGCGGAAATGACGACTAATCTCGATCATCCTCACACAGCCCGCCTTTCCTAGCGCGCAATAAACTTTTGCAACAGTAACATTTTAATGGTTCTTCGGATTGCTCCAAAGTACAAGCGAAAACACCGAATTTCAAGGCCGCTGACACCCCCAAAAAACAAATTTTGCACGTCACAGCAAAAAACAAATTTTGCACGTCACACTTTTCGAACGCACATCAATCAATCTTGTCTGAGACAAACTCGGAGCACAGTCACCCGAAATGCGAGAATTGGAACGCACGACCCAAACAACATACTCTGCATGTGAACTGCTTAGCGTGGTCGAGTAATGCTAATGAGTAGTGACATTCGCCGGTTTCGCTCACGGTCTCCTCGGTCTCGTGGCCACTCATCACTTGGCTGCAGTGCACACGATAACGGATATCTGGCGACGACTCCGGAGCTTTCCATGTGAGCGTCGTCCTTGAAAAAAAAAGTTAATCGGCTGCGAAAAACCTAATGTTATTAATAGCCTCTTTGGCTGTCAGGCAACGCTTATATTAACAAGTTTGAAACATTTTTTTTCAGATTTACATCCACTGAATTAATAGGTAAGCTATGTACACCTGATGGCTTGTCCTTTATTATCCCAAAACATGCTTAAGATAACTAGATTCTGAGATGACACTATAAGACTCAGCCGTATCATAAATATGTGATTGATCGTGCTGCTTGGGTATTGCCGTAGTTTTGATGCGTTCTCTCATCCTTTAGCTTGAGTACTGTCATTGGCCCAATTGAGATACGGTATCTGGGGCCGCCCACATATTCCTGTATATGAACTCCTAAATACTGTATAAAAACCCCTAGATTGGCACCTTGTCGACTTTTGTACTAAAGTTTATGATAAGCCCTTGTGCATACGTCCCTGGTAGCTTACCAGCGACGAAAACCCAAAAACCTGCGCGTACGTGCCGTCTGTTCGAACTGTTCAGATGAGTGGGCCGCATTTTATTTTTGGGGTTGAGTAAGGTTCCTAGCTTTGGGAAAACTGTGAACGGTTGTCAAAAAAAGGGTTGTATTTGACTGGCTTTTTGGCGAGGTTGGCGAAAGTTTCACGAAGGTAAGCCAAACTAGACGAAAATGGTAGATTTTCCGCTAAATGATACCAGTTAACTCCAAAAAGGCTAATAGCGTGTGAATAGTGCCTAATCACGAACCTCTCGCTGTTGATAGCCAATTCGGTAGGTGTGCTTGGTGCATCACGAGGAGCGTTCCCACCAGTGACTGGACTCCAATCACCTTCATAGCGTGAACCATCTTGGGCAATGACAACAGCACGTACCTTAAAAGAGCGCCATTTGCAAGAAGCTCCAATACAGCTGATTTCACCAAGTTTTGCGCTAAAGTCCCGCCTGAACTTCGACATGCTGT